CTAAAATACTTTGTTTACAGATTTTTTTTTATTTGCACTGTGGATTGAATCCAGGTACATTTAATCACTGAGCAATGTCACCAGCCCTTTTTATTTTTAATTTTGAGACAGGGTCTTGCTAAGTTGCTTAGGGCCTCACTAAATTGATGAAGCTGGTCTCAAACTTGCTATCTTCTTGCCTCAGCCTCCTGAGTTACTGAGATTATAGGTGTGTACCACCATGCCTGGCCAGATTATTCTTTTTAATGAACAAACTATTAAAAAGAAACATCAGGTATAGTCTCAGATGGAGAAGATGAAAAAAATTCCAGGTGAATGTACAACAATGTGAATGAACTTAATGCCACAGAACTGGCATTAAGTTAACTTATGAACTTAATGCCACAGAACTGGCATTAAGTTAACTGTATAGTTAAAAACAGTTTCTCTGGTTCAACAATAAACATTAATCAACTATTTCTTTTACGAAATCAAACTTAAAAGTGGTTATAGCATTAGCTATGATTTTACTAGTTAATGGACACTGTGCTTACCAATTCATTCCAAGTCTACTTGTAATACTTAGTGCTCTACCAAGTGCAGTTATTGCTTAAGAGAGTTTCTATAGTAGTCAGGAAAAACACTGGGAAATAAATACCATGTTAGAGTTAAGATCCAAAAAGGTTCTACATTTGTGTGTTCCAAATACATGTCATTTTGTCATCTACATTAATCTGTGAACTGAACTTAGCATAAAGATTCAAAAATATGCTACTAGGAGCCCTAAAGTGACTATAGTCTGGGGTTAAGTAAGGTTACACAAAATTTGCCAAAATAAATGTTAAATTTCATGTTATTTTGGGAAAAGAGAAAGCCATCTGTGCAACTCACTGTGGATAAACTGAATTCTGATTAGGGTTAGAGATGTGTCAATCATTACAATATTAATGATTATGCCAATAATTGATGAGATCAGAAAATTCCTGAATGTAACTCCAGGGATAGCAGAGATATAATAATCTACCAAGAGCTGGCAGGACATTTTTATTAAGAAATAAACTGAAGAAAACCTTTTATTTCATGACCAGAAATAAAAAGTAAACTCAAAGGGTACATGCCCAGAACAGGAAAGAATATATGTGTTTTAAGGAACTTCTCTGTACAATCTGAAGAAAAAGCTCAGAATTAAAGCTTAAATGAATTTTAGAGGGCAATATCAATCTCAGGCAGAGGATACATAATAATAATAGTAGTAGTTATTATTAGCAGTTGTTAGTAGAATAGGTAGTAAATTCTTACATAGAGCTATTATCAGTAGCAGTTGTGAGGAATAGTAGTCAATTCTTGCATAGCACTTCCTATCACTGTAAGGCTTGCAAACCATTGTCTCTATTTCACAGAGATGAGGAAACAGGCTCTGGGAGATTAGGTAACTTTCCCATTGTAACCCAGCTGGTAGGTGGCAGAGCCATCTCAGGGTATCCTGTTCCAAGTCCAGAGCTTTTGCTCTTAATTACATTATGTTGCCTGTCTTTGGAAAATACCATTGTTTTCCTGGGAACTAAGAAGGCTAAAGGAACTGTTAACTACAGACTAGGCCAGAGAATATAAGAAAAACTATGAAATGAGGAAAAGCTATCAACATTTATTAAAAGCCCACCATGCACCAGATATTTTACACTTTAGCAGAGTAAGCAACTGACAATTACAAAGTAAGGAGATTTAAGAACCCCAAATTCACCATAAACATGAGTGTGTGTATGTGTGTGTGTGTGGGGGGGGTAATGAGAATGGAACCCAAGAAAGAGGGAGAGAGGGAGAGAGGGAGGGGGGATGGAGGAAGAGAGGAAGAGAGGGGGAGAGGGGGAGAGAGTATGTGTGTGTGTTAATTACTGGGGATAGAACCCAGGGCTTCAAGTATGCCAGGCAAATGCTCCATCACTAAGCCACATCCCCAACCTCATAAATTTGTATTTTTATTTATTGATTTGGTACTGGATATTTAACCCAGGGGTGCTATACCACTGAGCCACATCACATCCCCAGTCCTTTATATTTTTTTTATTTTGAGACAGGGTCTCACTAAGTTGCATAGGGCTTCCTTGATAAGTTGCTGACGCTAGCCTCAAACTTGCAATCTTCCTGCCTCTTCGTCCTGAGCCACCAGGGTTACAGGTGTACACCACCTCGCCTGGCCATAAACTCATATTTTGAAGAAAGTTATTATTTCTTTGCAAAAGGCAAATATGGAGTGTAATACTCAAATACAAAAAATAAACATTACTTGATTTTATCTTTACCAATAATTCACTTTTAAAAAAATTAATAAGCACTTATATTCCACATTCAATGCATAGAAAATAAAAAATTAAAAATAAAGAAAAAGAGTCTCTGTTCTTAAAAAATCTTATTGTTTACAATAGTACTTTGTAATCACCTCCATTTGACATCACTAAGACATGGCTCCAAGGGGTTAAATGATAGGTTTAGGGTCTAAACTAGTGAAGAGCAGACTCAGAAGTTGAACTCAAAACCATCTAACCCTAAAACTAATACATTTTTGCGTGGTAACAAGCTAACAGTGTTTCTGAATGTAGAAACTAGAAAAACTTTTCAAGTAACTTCAAATAACAATTAAAAGGTACCTGGATTCTCTTTAATATTTTAGAACTGTGTCATATCAGTTGAGAACTTGAAAAGGGGAAGGATAAACTCTAGACTAAATCTTGGGTTACATACCTCATACAGATTGAGCCTAACATGAGGACAATGCAAGAGTCATGCAGATTGTAAAATATTTGAACATTTAAAAATGAATTGCAATGAGTATGGCCCACTGGAAATATGGAAGAGGCTGCTTTCAGAAATTCCCAGTCTTTGGAGTTGAAATCTCTCTAGCTTAAATCTCATAAGTAGTTGTAGCAAAAAGTTAACCTGGTTAGATTACAAAAGGAACTCGGCCAAAAAGTTAGCTGAAGGCTGCCCTCAGTACCTGCTTTGTCACAAACTCATTATTTAAGTATACTCTATGGTGAGAAAAAAAATGTATTGGTATAACTTTCTGTTGTTTAAGAGACACAAGATATTAAAGGTATCAAGCTTTATAAAGAGAAGCTCCTATTCCTAGTAAGAAGTAGTAAATTTATCTAGTTAAATACTTTTTTCGACTTTCTAACCAAAAGTCTACATTTATGAGATGACTACGATTTGGGGAGTAGAGCATGAATCTACCTGCCCCTCTCAAAATCATTAGCCTAGACTTGTTAAACTATGCTTTATCCAAACTGAATTAAGCAGGTATAAATAATTTTCAAAAAAATATTAAGGGAATGGCTGAAGTCTAAAAATAAACTTAAAACTCTTGTTTTCAATGTAGATCCAAAAACTTAATTACTATCATATTCTAAAATATTAAGAAGTCAAAATGTCCTCTTACTAAATGAGCAATATAAGAGAGAACAAGGATTATCAAATGTAAAACATGTTTTAAAAAGACAAAAACAAAGTACATATACTCAGATGTTCATCAACGATAATGATGTTATCGTATGAAGATATTTGGTTGATATATAACGAAAATGGATTCAAAGAACTATACCTCTTGAAAAATATTGAAAACAAAATTCTACTTAGCTCCCTGCCAAACTTTTGCCAACTACATTTTAAAGACTATAATCATAAAAGAAAATCTGCTAACATTTTTATTTCATTTTTGGTACCAGGGATTGAATCCATACAGGGGCCCTCAAACAATGAGCCACATCCCCAGTCTGCTTTTTTACTTTTGGAGACAGGGTCTCACTAAATTGCTTAGGCCCATGCTGTGTTGGCTTTGACCTCTCGATCTTCCTGCCTCAGCCTCCCAAGCCGCTAGGACTATAGGCATGTACCACCACGCCTAGGACATATTTTTTAAATGTGAAAACAAGGTTATAAAAAGTAATTCTTGGGCTAGGGATGTAGCTCAGTGGTAAAGCTGCTTCCCTAGGATGCCAGAGGCCCTGGGTTTGATCCCTAGCTCTGCAAAAAAAGAAAAAAGAAAAGTAATTCTCAAGATAATTTGATTGAACACTTAAAATTATACAAATTTATATGCAAAACTTTCTTTCAAACTCTAAAATCTGCCCTACAGATTGTGTAATAGATGTCAAGAATTTTCACCTTGTAAAACTGAAACCATATTTCATTTTAAAGGAGTTTTAAAACAGTATAGATTAGTATAGCAGAAAGCAAAATGTATTCAATTCAGAGTTCACAAGGATATAATTTGAATGGAAGCTAGGTGATACAATTTGTCTCTTTTAATGGTTTTCTTCAAAGATTATATAAAGTAATAAAAGTTTTTTAAATTAAGAATTTCCTTTAAAGTCACGGCTAACTTCTTTTTCATGTTTTCATCCCTAATATCTAGTTATATAAAACACTCAATGAGCATTGTTGAAAATGCCCAAGGAAGCTTTATTTAATTTTTTTAGTACCAGGGATTGAACCCAAAGGTGCTTAACCACTGAGCCACATCCTGAGTACCTCCCCCCCCCCCCCGTTTTAATATATATTTATTTAGAGATAGGGTCTCACTGAGTTGCTTAGGGCCTTGCTAAGTTGCTGAGGTTGGCTTTGAACTCTCGATCCGCCTGCCTCAGGCTCCCAAGGCACTGAGATCACAGGCTTGCTCCACAGAGCCCAGCTCCAAGGAAACTTTAAATACAAAGTTTAATGAGCGATTTTCAATTTATTCTTACCTATTTGATATATCTATCCATTCACTTAGAACTACCACACTCTGTTGCTTATGCTTGCCCAGATGTTTTTAAAATCTTTTAAAATTTTTTTCCATATTTTGTTAATTGGTGCTTTATAATTGTACATAAAGGTGGAACTCACTATTACATATTTGCTCACATGCACACAATAAAAGCTTTCTTTAAAAAATGTGCTAGTAATGTGGGTTTCAAAATTCCCAGTTATGGTGCTTTATAATAATCAGCTTATATAAATGAAAAAATTAGCTTTCTACTTACCATATAGTTACCATAAGCATGATCAAACATTTCCAGTACTTGATTCCTAATTTCAAAAAACACAGAAATGGAGAAAAGTTAAATACATTATATTTATCATGTTACAAAAAGTTAATTCTCCCTAAGTATACAAACAAAAAGCAAAAGAAATATTTAGTTAGACGGGGACATAGAGAGTCAGGAAATATACCAGTTAGTAAATAAATTTTCATAAACTCACTGCAAAGAGCTGGGTCAAACTTTACTCCTGGTAATTGACAAAAAGTTCATCTTATAATTTTTCCTTAAAAAAAAAAAAAAAAAAAAAAAAAAACCTGCAAATGATGTGTGCCATGAACAGAGGGAAGGAATCTTGATGAAAGAGGGAAGGAAATCTGATGATGAAAACCAATTACTATACCTCTTAACATAATTATTTAATATGTGTCTTGAAGGGGGAATACTGCTGGAGAGCTCCAAAAGAAATAATTATTGGTACCATTCATCATTCATCCTATGTGTCCTACCAAAAGCGAGGGATGGGTGTGTGTGAATAGTGATATGAAATAATATTTAATTAAGCCAATGTCTTTCCAGATAAAATGAATAAAAGCAGTAATGTCTAGTTTAAGAATATATTTATGGTTTGTCACATTTCCAAAAGATATTTTATGATGTACTCTGTTCCCTTTAAACAAACAAACAAAAAACCCTATAAAAATAGTATTCACCTGTAAAGTGAGAAACCTAAGGCTCAAAAACATTAATATGCTGTAGCTAACATCACTCAAGACCTTCAAGGTGGCTATTTAAAAAGGATTTCAGATCCCCACACTAGATTTACTAAACCAAAACCTATGAACCAGACGTAGTGGCACACGCCTGTAATCCCAGCAACTTGGGAGGCTGAGGCAGGAGGACTGCAAATTCAAAGCCATTCTGGGCAACTAAGTCAGATTCTGTCCCAAAAAACAAAAAGCACTGGGGATGTAGCTCAGTGGTAAGGCACATTCCCAGTAGTGCAAAATAATAACAACAACAACAATAACAGAAAACAAAAACAAAAGAACCACTTATAAGGTTGGGGAAAAGGAATCAGTGTCTCAACATTCAGGGGCTTGAATGCTATTAGAAAAACCACAAGAGTATATGTTGTGGCCAGGACAAGGTCAGAGCTCTCAAAAATTAACAAAGGACAATAGCTAAACAATCTATTATTAACTCTTCCCCAAATTCCAATTACTAGTAGCAAGAACTGAAAAAGTATAAAGAAATAGATAGTATTTTTATTTTGCCTCCTATTATAATACAACTGTTATTTTTGTCATTGCAATTGTGGATGATGAAATACTGATAATAAACAACCTAGGAGACAGAAAAGACCTAATTTCTGGACCCTGTCTATAAAGACCAGCAAAATCAGGTACACTCAAACTTGTGATATGAATAAGCCCTGAAAACATTTTTTTAAATGAATAATAATAATTTTAAAACACCCAATCAGTAAACCCAGGTGCAGGCCTATAATCCCTGACTACCAAGGAGGTTGAGACGGGAGGGAGGATTCAAAGTTCAAGAACAGTTGGTCAACTTAGCAAGATCCTGTCTGAGGATGTAGCTGAGTGGTAAAGTGCTTGCCTAACACACACAAGGTCCTGGATCCCCAGTAACAGAAGGAAAACAACACCTCATCATTAGAAATATTGTATTCACTTGGTTAAAACATTCATTCTTTATGAATTTGTATAGGTTTAATAGAATATGGGGGCTGGGTTGTGGCTCAGTGGTAGAGCACTTGCCTAGCACTGGGTTTGATCCTTAGCACCACATAAAAAATAAACAATAAAGGTATTGTGTCCGTCTATAACTAAAATATTTTTTTTAAATGATTAAAACCAAGAAGTAGAAATTGCTATAACTAGAAATGGTAGTGCCTAGGAAGGAGTGTTCCAAATGACAAGCTTTAACTTGCTAACCCAACTTTGCTAGCACTGAATTTTCAAAATTATGAGTAAATTATGATTGCTTACAAGTAAGACACACTATTTTTCCAATCCTTTCATTTACGCATCTCTTGTGATCAGCAAATTTCACAACACGTACTTCAAAGTGGACATATTTAATATCTAGCTGCTCTCTGACTTACAAGTCCTAAGAAAGACATATTTAAACACAAAATAATATTTAAATACAAAATAATTGCTATATTAAACAGAAAAATTGTTTCTATAAGATTTTACATCTGTTCAACAGCTGAATAAAAATGTATTGAAAAGCATATCTCCAGTTTAAAAATCATGTCTTTTTCATTTTAGATAATTTTTAAAGTTACATTGCCTGCCAACACCTATGGTAATTGAATTGTTTTAGAGTCATTTTTAAACAAAAAAATAGCATTAGCAAAAGCTGCCCTAACATTTGGAAACAAAATTAAAGAACAATGTATCCCATGAAAGATAAGACTATGATCAGGTAAATAATCCACAAAGTACAAGCAACTGCTTACTATTCATAATAATCCCAGTTTTTTATTTTCTGTTTGGTTTGGGGTGCAGGGAAAAGGGTAGGGCTTTGTCTTTTTATTATAAATCTTATTTGGACTTTTTTAAAAAAATCACACAGATAAATCAGAGTTCACATTCTGAAAGTTTCCAAAGGGGAAAGTCATCATATATTTGTGGTTTGTAGCTCTAGTCTTATTCTACTCTTACTCTAGGACAATCTAAATTAAGAAGCCTAAATAACTGTAATTCACTTTTGCAATTGATCTCAAATTTTGAGCTGAAATCTCAAGCCCATTTGGTTGGATTTTTCCAGCTGAAAATTAATTCTAATAAAAAAAATGAGTTATCCAATGACCCTTTCAATTAATTTTTTTAAGGAGAAAGAACAATGTCAAATAAAATACCTATGGTCCTTAATCAACTTCATATGTCTAAGTTTTAAGAAAGTGCCAAATGGATGGGATCTGGGATCAGACAGACCTTGGTTTGAAAACTGGTTCCACCAATTACTAGCTTCACAACTCTTAACAAGTTAACCTTAAATCTCAGTTTCTTCACTTAACAAAATGAAAATCCCATTCAACTCATGAAATAATAGTATTACAGAGATAACACAAGTAAAGTACTAACAAAATGGGGTATTCATTAAAAGTTGTCAATGATACATTAAATTCACTGAGAAAATTTAAGACACTAATTAGTTTACTGGGTAATTTTGTTTTGATAGTTAATACTTTTATCTTTTTTCCATTGTGATCTTTATTGGTATTTTATTTAAAATAGATTCTTGCAATCATTTAAATAAAGAAGTACATAAATTAAAACCTGATGGTTCCACCTCCCTTTCATCCTAACGCTATGAAATAATTATCTTTTCATTTTTTCAAATCTTATTAGACAATATTTTTTTTTAAAAAATATGGTATAGTACTATATATAGATTATTCCACAACTTGCTTGTGCATGTGTGCATGTATGTGTGTGTGTGTGTGTGTTGGAATACATCCTGAACAGCCTTCTAAGGACGCACCTCCTTCTTCCTAATGCATGAATACTACTCCATAATACATGCAACATATTCAAGCATTTCCCTCCAAGGAACAGTTCTCTTATAATGTACATCTATTTCAGTGCTTTTGTTTCTCCAAGACGGAATCCCAGGGGTAGGACTGATGAATCAAACAGTATGCACAATTTTAATTTTAGGCGATACAGTCTGTAAGTCACATTTACACTCCCATTAAGTTTTTTCCCCAAGTCGTAATTAGACAGTACAGTATCCTTGTGTTTTGTATTTACTAATCTGTTAGGCAAAAGCAGCTGTCTTGTTTTAATCTGCATCTCTTACATTTATGTGGTTGAATAAATAACTTTTCATGTTTATTGACCACTTGCAGTCCCTCTTCTCTGACTTAACTGTTCATACTTTCGCCCATTTTCTATTGGTTCTCGGCTTTTTTCTTATGCTTATGTGGAATCTCGTGCCAATTAGCATTACTGAGCCTAAATTAAATGCTGAAAATCCAACTGATAGTTTTATGACACTTTCAAGCTGATAAAACAACCCTGGGTACAGTGAGTAGGTACACTTATTTAGGACATTTGATTAATACTATCAAACAGTCTACTATGAAAATCGCAGTCAGGAAAACACTGCAAGGAAATAGTAAAATCTGTAAAGCTCCAATGAACGTCCCTTTTCCCTAACAGGTGTAAGCCTTAACTAATGCGAGATCAGCAACATTTTCCAGCTGGGAGTTCATCTGGGCGAGAAATCTAACCACGCCTCTGTGGGCAGGCAACCGCAGGACTCTTGCACGCGGCTACACGGGCTGTAGCCCCCTCACGGGTCACTGACATGGCAGCTGTGTTGACACACCACGGCTGGACTCAAGGAGCCCGCACATGTCACCGACAGCCCGGGCGACACCTCGACAGCCTCTCGAGGTCACGTCGCGGGCAGCGGTTCCCATCTTCCCGGACCCCTGTCCACCCCTCCGAGGTCCTCGCGCGGCAGCAGCTGTTCCACTCGCGACAGGGAGGCCACTGCGCGCCCGGGTGTCAATGACAGGCACCTCGCCTGTGGTCAGCCTCACCAGGAAACCCACCCCAGGCTGCCAAGCACCCTTACCCAAGCTTCTGTTTCTCCTCCCTACTCATGGGCGCGGCCACCGCCGTCCCCACGGACGTGGCCGACACCAGGCAGAGCGCGGCCGTCGCCGCCACCAGGCTCCATGGCGCTCGCTGGGGGACCGGAGACCCAGAGCCCCGGCCGCCGCCGGCTTCGCTCATGGCCCCGCGGTTCCGCGCACGCGCAGCTGCTATGCCCGGTTCGTGGGACACATCGCCAGACGCCGGTGGCGAGGGGGCTGCAAGCCGTGCCGCGGGCGGGACGTGGAGTGAGGCGGGCAGCCGCCGGCGCCAAACTGTTTGCTGAAGCCACCGAGCCGGTCCCCAGCGCCAGCGCTGCCACCGCCCTCCGCCCTCAGCAGCAGGGAGCTCCTCCCCCAGCTTTCCGGTGTCGTAGTCTAGGAAACCGCCTCCCCCAACGCTACTTCCGGGTAGGGCCGCGGCGTTGAGCCTCAGGACCAATGGAGACCGCCTTGGAGAGGGCCAGCGCCGGCGCCGGGCGAGCGCATTGGCCCTGAGAAGTGAGACGTGGACGAAAGGCGGGACGGGGGAGGGATCCGCCGCTGCGACCCTCCTCCGACCCTCCTCCAACCCTCCAAGTCGCCACCTGGGGACTTCCAGTCCCAGCGTGCGCTGTGGAGCCCCGCACCCCCATATCCCTGCTCGGGCCTCCTCGGTAAATTGCGTCCCTGGCTGGCGCGCTGCACCCTGGGATGTGTAGTCTTTGCGGGGCGCAAACGGCTCCGTATGCCCCGCTCTCCCCAGCGCCCCGCGGCATCCTCCTTCGGTGGGCTGCAGGGTCCCGTCAGCTGTTGATCCCTCTTCCTACGCGGGATGTTTCCCTGAGGGCGGACAAGATGAGGCGCACCATACCTAGGTCGGTGCTTAGGAAGTAGTGTTGGAACCGTCCTCTGCCTTCAGGGAGATTACAAAACACGAAAACAGCAAATGAGTTAAGCCTTTGACAGCATTGTACTCAAGTGTTACTTACATTATTTTATACACTCTTCTTGACTCTAATAGGTAAGTACCCACCACCAGCCCTCCATCATTTGCACACGAGGAAACCGAGGCTTAGAGGAATTAGTAAACCAATCCTCCTGACACTGCTGGATTGCATTGCAGCCAGCCTCTGATTCAGAAGTCGTTCCATTTAGCACTGGGCAGAATCACAAAGACGAAGAAGGGTGCATAAGGACTAGTTATCAAAAAAGTTAGGTGTAAGATAAAATGAGCTGTAGGTTCCTCTTGAAAAAGCACATTGCTTTTTCTTTTGTGGTATTTCAGTAAGTGCAAAGTGGAGGAGCGTGGATGTGACTTCTGTGACCACAGTAAATTGCTTATTTGTCCCCTCAGCGGAGTTCATCTCTCTGGATAATTCCTTGGCTTGTATAACCTTACCACTTACCTCTTTGATTAACCATTCAGGCTCCATTAGTGACGCCCCTTCCTTCACTCCCCATCTCTCCTCCTCCTCCTCCTCCTCCTCCTCCTCTTCTTCTTCTTCAAATACAGGTTTCTTTCTGTCCTTTTTCTCTTCATTTTCTAATTATTCCTTGGTGATTTCTTATATGGAGCCAACTCTATTTCTTGGTTGATTTCTCTATCAGTATATGCCCTGATCATTATAACCATCCTCCCTAATAGAAATTTCCTATGCCTGGCCCAAGAGTACCTCAAATGTAAAATGAATGTATTTAGAATCACCTTAACAAGTAGTATGGAGATTTCTTGGAAAGCTGGGAATGGAACCACCATTTGACCCAGCTATTCCCCTTCTCGGTCTATTCCCTAAAGACCTAAAAAGAGCATGCTACAGGGACACTGCTACATCGATGTTCATAGCAGCACAATTCACAATAGCAAGACTGTGGAACCAACCTAGATGCCCTTCAATAGACGAATGGATAAAAAAAAACGTGGCAGTTATACACAATGGAGTATTACTCTGCATTAAAAAATGACAAAATCATAGAATTTGCAGGGAAATGGATGGCATTAGAACAGATTATGCTAAGTGAAGCTAGCCAATCCCTAAAAAACAAATGCCAAATGTCTTCTTTGATATAAGGAGAGTAAGAACAGAGTTGGGAGGAAGAGCATGAGAAGAAGATTAACATTAAACAGGGGTAAGAGGTGGGAGGGAAAAGGAAAGAGAAGGGAAATTGCATGGAAATGGAAGGAGACCCTCATGGTTATACAAAATTACATACAAGAGGAAGTGAGGGGAAAGGGGAAAAAAACAAGGGGGAGAAATGAATTACAGTAGATGGGGTAGAGAGAGAAGATGGGAGGGGAGGGGATGGGGGATAGTAGAGGATAGGAAAGGCAGCAGAATACAACAGACACTAGTATAGCAATATGTAAAACAGTGGATGTGTAACCGATGTGATGCTGCAATCTGTATACGGGGTAAAAATGGGAGTTCATAACCCACTTGAATCAAAGTGTGAAATATGATTTGTCAAGAACTATGTAATGTTTTGAACAACCAACAATAAAAATTAAAGAAAAAAAAATAGAATCATCTTCACCTCATCCTCCTCCCTTATAGTTGGTGTCCGTCCAGATTACATAGATTCTACCTCTGGTATCTTTCTAATTATTGCCTTCCTACTCCTACTTCTGCTTAGTTTGAGTGTTCATTACCTCTTTCCTGAACCATTGCAATGGCTTCCTTGTGATTTCTCTACCATCTTGTTCTTTTTAACACTGCTACCAAGTTGCATTCAAGGACATCTGCAAATGCTCTGCACACTTTCTCCCTTCTCTCCTGCCCTGTCCTCAAAACTTATGCAAGGATCTTACATCCTTTCTGTGCCTTTGCTCTTACTGTCCCCTCTTCTACCCCACCATCTTTGTAGAATACCCACAACCCCCATTAAGGCTTGGATCAGACTCCATCTTCACAAAAACCATCATTTTTTAAAAATATTTTTTTAGTTGTAGATGGACACAAGACTTTTATTTTATTTGTTTATTTTTTTTTACGTGGTGCGGGGGATCAAACCTAGTGCCTCACACATGCTAGGTAAGCGCTTTACCACTGAGCCATAACTCCAGCCCACAAAACCATTATTAACCTTCCAGTCAGTACAAGTCACCCTCTGTCTTGTTCCTCCATTGTAGTCTGTGCCTTTATTATTTCATATCTTACAGTCTATCATGTTCATTAGATTGTGACCACTGGAAGGGTAATGACTTGTTTATTTAGTACCAAAACTCCAACCTGTGTGTTTCCTACTAAAATTTTGAGCATTTTTGTTTTCTTATCACTTCAGTTTTCTCACCTACAAAATTTAAAAATATGGTTTTTAGGTACATACGTGAATGCTGTAAATCACATGAGGTCATTTCTAAACAGTGTTTAATTTTATCTTTTTATGAACCTGCAATCCTGCATTGGTTAAATCCTGGATCCTCTCTGGCAAACTTAATGATGAAGTTAGCTAAATCAATAAATACCTATGAGTTGATCTTGGCTGTGTGATAGAGAACATGACACATTAAAGGTCAACACCAATCATCCAGTATTTGAAAACTAAGAACAAAGAACATTGAAAAACAGTCAACAGCTTTGAGTTAATGGAAATATAATCAAGTCAGTTAGAGTGGAATATTGTCAGTGACTCAGTTTTTTTTACCTTCCTGCTGTTCAAGCCTTCATAAGAAGTCCAATTTGACTATTAACTGTCATTAAGAAGCAGCATACTGAAGAAAGAGAGATACTGGCTTTTAGTATTTAACATTGTCTGCATTTTTGTTTGTTTGAAGCTAACACTGCATTTTTAAGTGTCATCATTGAGAAGCCAGAACATATTTTTTGTTGACTTGCTAAATAATAAGCATCTTTTTCTTCTTTACTAAAATTTATTTTTTAGCTAATGGCTGAGTCCATTTTTCACTGACCTGAAAACCTCTAAGTAGAGAAGCTGATGTTGCCTAAAAAGTATTGAAATGTATCATAATCTAAGGCGGATCCCCCATGGAAGTGAAACAGATATTTATTTACAAATGCATTTCAAAAGAGAACCCATTTATGCCTTCAAGTGCAGCTTAGTGGTAGAGGGCCTGCCTAGCATGAGTGAGGTCCTGGGTTCAGTCCCTAGCACCAAAAAACAAAGAAAGAAAAGGAGATAATACTTATAATAATTAAAAAGGAGAACCCATTTTAACACCTTAATGAAAATAATAGGAATTCTTAATTATCAGTTTTGGACCCTAGGAAAAATTTATAAGCTCAATATACTACTGATTAAAAGGATATAGGAATTAATTGAGAGAGTTTGGTGTTTTACACGGGAGAAAACACTGGTGAAAAGCCCTTAAGGAGAATAAAAGATAAGGACTTTATGGATCAGCATAATCCATAGATGGGTAAAGCCCATTAGAAATAATAAGAAATTGCTGGGTGAGGTGGCATAGGTCTGTAATCCCAGTGGCTCAGGAGGCTGAGGCTGACCTCACAAGTCTGAGGTCAGCCTCAGCAACTTAGCAAGCCCCTAAGTAATTTAGCAAGACCCTGTCTCAAAATAAAAAATAGAAAGGACTGGGGATAAGATTCAGTGATAAAGTGCCCCTAGGTTCAATACCTAGTACAGAAAAAAAAAAAGAATATTAAGTAGAAGAAAGAAAGAATAAGGGTCATTTATAAAGTGCCCTTTAACCAGCTAAGAGTTTGTTTGAACAGCCTTGTAACTTATGTAAATATCTTTGTTCTGTCAGCTGTCAGGAAGAGTAGGAGCTTAGATAGAACCATATGGATTCACAAACATAAGAGAGAGGCTCCCATTTTAACATTATGGCTCAGAAAGAGTCTGGGAGGCTTAGACCAGCTGTGTGAGACGGGTTACACAGCAACAGTTGCCCCTAAATGAATTCTTTAATATTACAGATCCAATTACTCTTAAAATTCTAGCATGGAATTTGGGAGTGGTGGTTTTGTAATTCTTCACATCGCTTTTCCCATTGTTTGTGAGTGTGTGGAATTTCCAAAACACGTCTCTTCTTGAGAACCCAGTCTTGCAATCATGAACTCAAGACAGTGCTTATTCTATTTTCAGAGCTTGGGACTGGAGGCCCTAGAAGGAGTACTTCATGAAAAAAGTAGTCAGTGAATGTTGTGGACTGACTCCCTGAATAACTGTCTGACTTATCCAAATTCCAAGAGAGAGAATGAAGAATTCAGATGACTTGCTACCCCAAAGATGTCCCCAGGCCTTTTTCTATTTCTCAGACATGATTTGAAATCTAATATTGAAATTAAGCTGTATTTTCAATCTCGTTTGCCCAAGAATATGCATTTTAACTAAATTTGATGCTATTTCCTTTTATACTTACCCCAGAACAATAAGGTAGGGGGA